CGTGCATTGTTTGTTCGTGAAATTTTTGACGACATTGCTTGTGGTGATGCTGCAAAAACTCCCGAATTTTGGGCCTTCCATTAACCATCTCTCAGTGATTGCTGCTATTCAACAAGAAGCGCTTGCTCGACTACAGACCAGGAGACTGGTCCCAGAAACTCCAGAAAAATGTCCACCTACTACAATGGTTGGAGGGCAGATTCTGGCAATTACCTAGGCAACGACACCCATCTGGGACTAACAATGTTAGTCCCAGAGCTTTGGCCAGACGGGACCTGAAGAGGGACCAGAGCCGGAGGAAATCACATCATGCCAAACAAAATGTCCAGAACAGATTCTGGGCCTTACCTAGACAATCTCCATCCCTTAAACTGCAAGTACATGGCCCCAGCCTTGCAGAACGTTTTTGTCGCCACAAGCAAAACTGGGAGGTGCCGTGCGGCGTGGGCCGCTGTTGAAAAAAAGAATCGGCGGCCTCCGAAGTGGTGCGGGTGTCGTGCTGACACCCGCGGGCCGATGTGTGGTGTACTGGTGCATCCGGGGCTCTTTTGTACGCGGCGGGTTCTCCCTGCTGCCTGCGCACCAAGCTCTGCCTATAGCCAGGGGTGGGTTTGGAGCCTTCGAAACGGACTGAATATCGTATTGATGATATGTATAGATATATATCTTTATCTATACATACTAAAGCAAGCAAAGGGTCTGGCGACATGGTCGGTCGCGGGCCCAACGGAAACCGCTTGGGACAGCGCGGTCGGGAGGAGGTGTTGATCGTCGCGCGGGGCAGGGAAAAGCGAAGCGGGCAAGGGGCGGAGGGCCGAGCCGACGCGGGGGAACCGGCCCAGGGCCGAGGCCCGCGCAGAGATGGGCGGGGAAAGTAGAGGGCAGGGAAAAGCGAAGCGAGCAAGGGGCGGAGGGTCGAGCCGACGCGGGCGGGCAGCGAAAACCGATGACGTGGAGCGTCGCGCGCGTCGCGAGCACGCAGCAGAAACGAGGGCACGACAACTCTCTCTCTCTCTCTCTCACACACACACACACACACACAAACACACACACACACACACACACGAACGATTCATACCGATTTTGCTCAAAAAGTGGCAGTGTATATTTCCACGTTTCAGCGGAAGATTCATTCCGTTTTTGCTCATCCTATCGATGGAATGTGTGTGTGTG